GGGGTCGATGGCGGGGAAGAGAGAGAAAAATTCAGCCTGACGCTGTCTTTCCAGGTGCAATGACCGATTTATTATAGTGTGATGAGCCAGCAGGGCCCCCGGTGTCCCCTGCCCAGGCTGGGCTTGCGGGGGCAGGGAAGGTGGCTGCAGAGGCACTTGGGAAATGCTGGATGCGCTCCCTCAGCTCCACCCGGGGTGGGGGGCTGGAGGCGGGAGCTCAGAGCAAAGGCTTCTGGGAACTGCTGGACCTCCCAGCAGCAGGACAGGGGGCAGGTCCATCAGAGAAAGAGCCCCCCTGAAACAAGAGAGGGAGTGTGAAGCCCTGGGATGGGGCAGATAGGCCCGGCCCCTCTTTACTGGCTCCCCCCATACCTGTCACCTCCACGCTGGCCCCTGTGATGTAACGACTCTCCTCTGAGGCCAGGAAGGCGCAGACGTCAGCCACCTCTGGGCGGGGAGCAGGGTGGGGGGTGGGGTTAGAGGCAGCATCCATACACTGAGGCTGCGCTCACAGCCCCCCCAGTCTGGGTGCACAGCCCCCAGGCTCACAGCCCTCACTCACAACCACACATGCCCTTGGCCCAAGACACAGCCCCTCCCCCCCTCCAATATTCCCCAATGCCTGGCTCCAGGTGCCTCTGACCTTCGGGGTCTCCGAGCCGTCCCATAGGCACCAGCGCTAATAACTGAGGATGGAAAGATGGGAGTCAAAGATATGGGTGCCCCCTTCCCCCCTCCAGGGCACTGCTCACAGCAAAAGAGGGAGGGGCTGGGGGTACCTTCGCCATCACTTTGGGGGGCACCTGATCCGTCATGAGGGTGCGGATGATGCCAGGCAGCACTACGTTGCAGCGGATCCCATACCTGCGTGGTGGGGGGGTATAGTGACGTGGTGGGTCTCACCCCAAGCCTCTCCCCCCACAGCCTAGCTGGGCCATCTGGCCCCCACACCTGGCCAGCTCCTTGGCAGCAGTCTTGGTCAGCCCCTCCACGCCTGCCTTGGACGCCACGTAGTTCACCTGCCCCAGGTTTCCTACCTGCCAGAGAGAGCGGGGTGGAGGGGAGGGTATAGGGTTTGAACCAAGGAACTGCTCGGAGGAAGGTAGCAGCACTGGACATCCATCCTCTCCAGGGCATGGCTGCCAGGAAGCTTGCAGTCCTGCTCTCCCCCCACAGCTCAGGGCACTGTCCCAGGGAAGCTCATGGCCCTGACCTTGCCCATGATGCTGCCCAGGTTGATGATGGAGCCACCAGGGGCACCGCTCTGCACCAGTGCTTGCGCCACAGCCTGCATGACCAGGAAGGTGCCCTGGGAAGAGGCGGGGGGGCATCACTTTGGGATCCCAGCTCCCGTCTCAGCCCCCCGCACAACCATCTGTACCTTGAGGTTGACGGCAATGACTTCATCGAATGTGGCCTCTGTTTGCTTGAGTAGGAACTCGTCCCGGGTGATCCCAGCACAGTTCACGCACACGTGGGGCGCGGCCGAGAACCGGGCCTGCCGGATGCCTGGGTCAGGACACCTGGGTTCCCACCAGGCGCTGCTGGGGGTGGGGGGCAGGACAGCCCGAGTCTCTCCCCAGCTCAGTATGGGGGAGCTGTAGAGCAGGGAGATGGGGCCCAGATGCCTGGGGTCGTTCCCAGGCTAGGGGGAGGAGGCTGGCTAGGCTAGAGGCAGGGAATTAGGATCCTGGATGCCCCAGTTCCTTCTTGGCTCTGGGATGAGTGGGGTCTAGTGGTTCCAACGGGAGCCTGGACGCCTAGGTCCCCTGGCTCAGGAAGGGCATTGGGGCGGGTGGGTTAGTGCACAGGGCTGGCAGCCTGGGCCCCGCAACTCTGAGGGCAGCGGGGCGGGTGGGTTGGGAGTGTGGATGCCTGGTCCCCCGGCTCCAAGGGCAGCGGGGCGGGTTGGGAGCAGACACCTGGTCCCCTGGCTCCAAGGGCAGCGGGGTGGGTGGGT